CTGAATGAATTTCAATCATAATGGAAAAGGCTGGAAGACTGGGTTGGTGGAAGGGGGCAAACATAACAGTGCCACAGCTGTGGCAGAATCAAGGTTAGCAAGCTTTCTTATTACCTGAAATGCTCTTAATCCTCATTCATTTTGATCAGTTTTATTAAAACGCTGCCATAACACTTACATTGTCATCCAAGATTTATAATGCTGTGATAATGTTAATTACCTCACAGGGAAAAAATGCATTCAACCAAATTAATTTCAACAGTAATATTATCTACCTCATAGGCTTATTAGAATTAAATTAGATAATCCATGTAAGAAATTCTTAGCACAGTGCTTGGTAAGTAATTAACACTCAATAAAGGTTAGCTCTTATTATACAATAAAAATATGGGGATATTAAAAGAATACTAAGGTTAATTTCTTAACTATGCTTATTTCTGAAACTACTTTACTTTTCTTTAAAAATTTTTGAGTAGCTATTATTTTGGTAATCTGATAGTGTCCCCCAAGGCCTCCTGTGATCACTATATTTACTATGTATTCCTTTTTAAGTTAGTTAAGTTTCTATTATATTCAGTACACTATTCTTGTTAAATGTGAATCATATATTATAGGTCAACCATTCCCAAATTCTGGACTGTAGACCAGTGACACCATAATCTGAAGTTCATGGTAAAATGATTAAAAAAAGGACAATAAAACCCTTTTTTATTCTAAAATTCTTTTCTATTTTTAACTGTTAAAGTTGTCCCTTCTTTTATGAAATAATGATAACTATGATGGCAGCAAAAATAAAAAGCTGAAGATGCCTGTTGGTGCTATTTTGTAAAATTTTCTTTTACTAGTTCCTGAAATGCCCAAGAGAAGGAACCTGTCTGTATCAGAAACAATATAAGGATTATAATTCTGCAAATAATTAGAATGAGATCTATAAAAATAAGGATGCTGTATGCTAAACATAATTTCTCATGATTCAGAAGTTTACCAGGATCTGATACATGAAATTAAGAAGCCATCTCATCAAATGCAACCAAGTGATGCTTTAATTAACATTTATACTGATATAGAAAAAACTAAAAACAATTTGACTTTTCTTTCCCCGAAAAGAACAAAGATCAAATTGAAGTAGATGATTACTCTTCCAATACAAGAGGCACAGGAGAAAAACAAGATTCTGTATCTCTTTTCGTCTTACTGATTTTCCACATGGGCACTGGCTTTCGGCTAACATGATGCTTATACAAACCCAACTTTTATTTCTTTCCTTTTTTAGTTACATTCCAGTAAAAGTATGCTTTGAAGTGGTTTCTACAAGCCCTAATTTGAATTTTTGATTTAATTTAAAACTGCTTTATCACTGAAACAAACGCACTTTGCTTTAAAAAAAGATCTATTTTTATCTTTACTTTTTAAAATATATAATCAAATAGTACATATTACATACCCTTTAGAATACAAACCTAGCATTACTTATAGGTTCTTTTGCTTCTCCTCTTCACACTTGATCTTTGCCCAAAGGCTGAGAAGCGATATTTTGCTTCTCCTTGTAGTACATTTTCTTTTTGGAATCTTTATTCATTAATTCAATCTATTTATCAATCAACTAAAATAAGCCAACCATTTTTTCTAGGTGTTGAGGATATAGCAGCAAACAAAATTCCCTATCCTCCTGGATTCTTCACTCTAAAGGAGAGGGACAGATACACACGCTCGCAGACACACATACACACACACACACACACACACACACACACACACACACAGAGACAACTGTGTGTGTCCATCCATCCATTGGTCATAAATGTTTTTGAGAAAACTAAGGCAAAGCAGGGGTACAGGTATTGCTGAGCAGATGTAGGAGTTAATTTTAAATATTACAATCAGAGAAGAGCTCATTGAGAAGGTGACTTTCCTGCAAACACTTGAAAAAGTCGAGGAGGTGGTCATGTGGTTGGTTATCTGCGGAGACCGAGACCATCTCAGCCTAAGTAAGCAGCAAGTACAAAGACCCTACTGTGTTCAAGGGAAAGAAAGCAAGCAAGAGAAAGGGACGGAGAGATGAATAAGGTATCAGGACCAAGAGTTAACTGGTAGCTACAGGGAGCTTTTAATCTGAGATGGAAAAGCGATTGGAGGGTTTTGAGCAGAGGAGGAAGAAGATCCGATGTGATGTTTTAACAGCATCATTCGTATTGTTATAACAAGAACAGACCAGGGATGGGGGAAGCAAAAGGAGAGAAGTTAAGTGGCTACTGGGACAATCCAAGTGAGGGACAACGGTGGCCTGGCCCCATGTGGGAGCAGTGGAGCTGGATTCTAAATGTATAGTGAGGCATAGCAGGCAGGAACTGATGACAAAAATGACCTGGTGTGTAAAAGTGGAGTGACTCTAACATTGTTGGCCTGAGCAACTGGAGGGATATAGAAACTGTGAGAGAAAGGTTTATAGGGGAAAGCAAGTTTTGGACATGTTACGTTTAAGGTAACTACTAGTCATTCAAGAGAAGGTGACACGTAGGCAGGTACATACATGAGTCTAGGATTTCAAAGCAGAGGTATGGGCTGGAGAGAGAAAGTGGGAATCCTCAACCTAAATACGTGGAAAGCCATGAGACGGACGGAGAACACTAAGAAGGGCAGTAGGTGAAGCAGCGCAGATAGAGACACGGAACCTGGGATGGCACTCCAAAATCCAGACACTGAACAGACAGAGAGGAGGAAGAAACCTTTTGTTAGAGCTTTTTACACACATTCGAATTCCTATTTTAAGTTGTCTGAGAGCAGGATTTCGGCAGCTAAAAGAGAACCTTCTACTTAGCAGGTATGCAATGACTGTTTTTGCTTGGCCCAGGTTCCATAGCCCCATTTCTAAGCTCCCCACATAATGGAAGTTAGGCAGCATTTTAGAGTCCCCTGAAAGCTCTGCCATCCTTAGGGCTCAGATGTTCCACACCACCAAAGAATTTACATAGCTTGGGCAAGACACATAGAGTCTGTACCTATCTACACTGATGGCAAAGGGTGTTCAATATCAGATCAGTCTGCAAAGGAACTAGGGCTGGCTTTGTGGCAAACCAAACTATGTGCAAGGATTTACTGAGTCATCAGTAACCATCTGACAACATCTGCAATTATTCCTAATCCCTGGTGGGAAGTTCTGAATGGTCTCTTTTCTTGTGGTTTAATTATTTTTATTATTAAATAAATTCTCATCCAGTTTGAGGAAAGATGTAAAGAGTCAGAAAAAAAATGAAGAGAAGAAAAAGAAACAAAATAGGCCATGTTTTGAGATTTTAGGGCTGTGAATCCAGTGACCTAGGAAAGCACTTCACAGCCTCACAGGCCTTGTTATCCAGTTGGATTGGACACTCATACTACATCCTGGGTTTGACACTAGAGAAAAATGCCTTTAGGACCTTCTACTATCACAGGTGTTCTTCTCCCATCAGCATGAAATCACTTTAAAATAATTTTTTTCGATTATAGAGTGAGCATCACCAGCTGACCACCCCTCCACCCCCCTACCACACGGCTCCTGTTGTCACTCTCCAGCCCCCAAGTTCCTAGTGCTAACCATTTTTTAACATCAGTTTAATTCTTCGATCTCAATAGGTAGATGAGCTTAATGTTTCCAAATTCCTGAACCCACCTCACCGGCTTGGAACTAACCTTCACCATCCTGGAAGACTGGTGGAACTCATCTGTCTCTTATCAGACATCCCATCCTGAGCTCTGATTCCACAAATACATGTCCTCTGTGCTTGTCACCTCTTACTAGGCAATTGCCCTTCTCTCTGTGCTACTCCACAGAAAAGTGGCCTCAAATCTTTCCGTTAGTTCCCCAAACAAAGCTAAGACCACTTTGTAGCCTTTAACAGTTAAAAAGTCACTGAAGGCTTGGGGAGGAAAACATAACACCTGGTATCGGGCAGCCACTACTTTAAGATTCCACCAGCCAGGCTTCTTCCCTGGCAGGGCCTTACTGACTTTCTTCTCTCCTTTAAGTAGAAGTCCTCGATATCAGGCTCTCTTCAGGAAGCCCAGAGCCTTCCCTAACTAGAGTACTAGTTAACACCACAATACTCTGGAGATCTGCCCCCAAAGAAGACAACTTTTTACATTGTAAGTCTAGAAATTCAGAAATTTATGGACCTAGAATAGTATTTTGGATTTTCTCTACATAGCCAAAATGTTTTTCCTAGAATAGAAAAAAATTATGTCATGTCTGCTCGACTTTGTTAGTTTACCGCTTCTTGATTTCTTCCTCACATCATTACTCTTCTGTATGAACAATAATCCCAAATCATTACTCTCTTTGCTTCAACCCCAAACTCTGAAACTAAGGGTTGTTCAGAGGGTTAAAGTAGGTAATATATGCAAACACTTAGTACAACGTCTAACATATACTATGCGCTCAATGAATGAGAAACATCCATTGTTATGGTCATCCGCACTTCATTTGTTATTTGTAAATCTCCCAAAATAATAGTCCATTACTAGATAAGACCTGACAAACAGAAGCTAAATATTTGTTACCTTGTTATCTTGTGGAACTTCTAGCAAATAAGAAGCACTTAATAAATAAAATTTTTAGTGAATGGCTTCCCTTTCAATTCATCAAGCATTTGTCGTCTAAGATAGGTTCTATCCATAACACAGAATATTAAGAGATGGCCCTGTTCTTAAGGAGTCTATAAACATGTGGACAAATAATTACAGTACAAGACAAACTTAAATTATTTGAGAAGTTTAAAAAACTGCTAAGGGGTTCAAAGACAGACCCAAATCATAATAATGGTATAGAGTTAATGGTTCTAAGTGTGGTTCTGGGAACCATAGTGCGGTTCCTGAGTCCCTTTCAGGGGGTCCACAAAGTCAAAATGATTTTTCACAATAATCATACTAAGACTTTATTTACCTCTTTCATTCATTCATTCATTCTTCCAGGAGCATACAGTGGAGTTTACGGTGTTCCCTGACCTATGATATTGCAACAGACTGAAAGCAGAAGCACATAAAAGATTCTAGGTTTGCAATTAAGCCAAAACATTAAAGAGATCCTCAAAATGTAAACCAACGTCACTTTTCCAATTAATTTTTTTGTTTTGTTTTGGAACATTCGTTTTTCCACAAAAGTGTTATTTGTATTACCATGTAATGGGTTGTTCTTTTTAAGCAAGTATTTAGAAAATTTCTTGGTTTTAATGTCGAATGAGGTAAATATCAGTATATTTTATATGTATGTAATATATATAACCCATATAAGAGCTCTCGGGGGTCCTCAGTAATTCTTAAGAGTGTAAAAGAGTCCTGAGACCAAAAACTTCAAGAACCGCTAAGAGAGTGCTTTCCAAGCCTGGTAAGGAAAATAGTTTTACTTAAGAGTTTAACGTTCACGGTGAAGTCAGGAAAAGAACTTGGTAATATGGTTTGATGGAGGAAGATGATGAGTTCAGTTTCAGCTTTTCCCACCATCCTTCAAAACCTTCAAGAGTTCCTGCCTCCAACACTTTGCTTTCATCCTCTTCACCTGCGCTTCTTCCCAGCCTTCCTTGGGTCTTCTAGGGTTGTGTCCATAACTCTTTCCTTTGCGTTTTCAGTCCTTTGGAATTCCTGCCCTAGCACGAAGGTCTCCAAGACAGCTCTCCTTCTCGCTATACCTTCTGGGGTCAACCTCGACTTCTCTCTCTCTCAGCCCAACGGGCGGAGGGTGGGAAAAGGGTGTGAAGCAGCCGCCCTGTCATTTCTGCCTTCTCCCTTCCGGAGCCCCGGCCCCGCCTCGCACCCTCGCATTCCCAGGACTCTGCTGGGTCCCCTTTAGGCTCTCTCTGAAAGGTGACCGAAGCTGTCCCCGCCGCCTTCCCTCATTCGCACCGGCTGCCTCGCCCCGTCTCGCGCGGCCTCGGCGCCCCATCCACTTTGGGCGTCCACCCCTCCGGCCGGAGCCCAGCCCGCTCGGCCGCGCCCCTCGCGTCCCGGCGCCCGCGCTCACCTGAGCCGGAGGCGCCCCCGGCTCCCCGCCAGCTCTGCCAGCCTCCTCCAGCCCCGGCCCTCGGGCGCCCGGTCCAAGCTCTCGCTGAGCCTCCGCAGCAGCGGCTCCCGCAGGCGGTTGAGGGTCGCACCGGCCGGAGGGGGCTGGGAGGCCAGGGACGGCGGGCCCTGCAGCGGCTCCCCCCACAGCGACATGGCCCGCGCCGACGACCCCCGACCGCCGCTGCGCCCGCCGACGGCGTCGCGGACCTCGGCCACGGCGCGCCTTCCGCTCGCCCCCTCGCTCGCCTGCCAGCTGCGGAGGCAGGGGCGGAAGGACAAGTCGCGCGGCGCCGCGCGGCCCTCGGAGGAGGAAGCTCGGCTCCCCGCCCCGCCGAGAGCGGTTTGCAGCCGGAGCCGGGCCGCCCGGCCGTGCCAGCCGCGCTGGGGGCGGGGCCTCGAGAGAGGGGCGGGGCCCACTGCGCGCGTGCGTGCGGCCGCGCTCCTCCGTCGCCTTCTGCGCCGCCTCCGGGCTCTCCGTGGCGCGCGCTTCAAACCCGGGCGGTCGGGGCCTGTCGAGCAGGAAGGGACGCGGTGCAGCTGGAGGAGGAAGCGGTGGAGGAACTACGCCCGGGCGGCTCCTCCACAGCGAGGAAGCCTGCGGCGTCGGGGCTTCCCGGGACTGTGGGAGGAGGCTTGCCGCACGCCAGCGAGGGGAGCACGCGGTCCTCCGTCGGCGGCCCCCGCCCGCTTGACCCGGGGCCGCGCCCCGCTGTCGCTGGGACTTGCGTGTGTCCGGTCACGCAGCCAGAGCTCCTCGTTTTAGGGTTAGAAAAGCATGGGTTGCCAAGAGAAGTAGTGCGGGAGATCCGGATACTTATGTTGGAATGGGCCAAAATCTCTGCCTAAACTGAAAAAACTTATTATTTTTAAAAACGGAGCTAATCAGGTCTTGAGGATGCTTTTTAGCAGGAATCATCTGGTTTCCTCTGGGTCAGACTGTCACCCACAATCTTCATAATCTGAGCATGCAATCTTATAGAGAATGCCCTTCCCTAGAATGATCCAGAATAGATGAAGCAATAGATGAAGACTGCACCTGAGCACTTGTTCCCAATCTTACCAATTTCCAAGGCCGTTATCCCATTGAAAACTATAGCTTAGTTTGGGACAAAAGCAAGCAATTTATGGAGTGTTATCAACCAGTAGCCGCTGACACAAGGCTTCCTGGCCCAATATCTGTTGCCATTAGCTTTTTCATCACCCAAGGCAGCAGGATTTTGCGTAGGGATAATTCAGATACCTAGATTCTCATACCTTTTGGTGAGATAGGTGCTCCGTACACCATTCTAGGACAGTCACTAAACTTTTTCACTCCAGTATAAGTTGAGAGTTCAGAATGCATTGTATCTGCTAAGAGCATAACCTTTGGATCCAGAAGAATCTGCTGGATTCAAGTTTTATGAGCTTGAATACGTTAATTAATTTCTTTGCCTCCTCTATTAAAATGAGACTGCAAATTTGGTTTATATAGGTTGTTGCCAAAATTAAGGGAGTTGATGTATATGAAGCACTTAATGACTGGCACATAGTAGGTACTCAATAAACGCTACTACCCTTACATATACAAATGTTGGCATGGCAAGCCTTTTCCAATCACTTCTAGTGCCTTCTTGTTTTGTCCTCAGTCATTGCACAAATATTTTCTGAGTCTATTACCTGCATGTGCCAATTATGAAAATGAAGTTTTCTAGTCTTTATTCGAACCCTACCTTTTAATTCAGCTTCAGAAGACTTCTTTTAAACATAGACTTCTTAGAAAAGTCTGCCATGTTCAAGGCGTTGCATGTGCCGCTTCCCACAAATGTGTATGGGTTAAAATGGGTACCTATGTTATTTACCGGGAGAGTATCCTTCCCAATTTGATCAGGTGCTTCCTTACCCAGTGTAGTTCAGTCAGACACTGTATTGACACTCCCTTTCCCTCCCCTTCCCCGTGCTTCCCAAGCAAGTTCCTCCCTCGTTTCATCTCCACCCGGCAATTTTTCAGTCACTCTACCCACTACTCTCCATCCTCTACCCTGAACTGACATTACATTTTTTGACTGGTCTTTTTCTCCTCTCCATCAAATGTTAATGTTTCTATTATATAATTTCACTCCTGTGGTTCTCTTCTGGGGCGTAATGTAGTGTAGTGGAATGTGATCTTTAGAGTTAGTCCTGAATTTGAATCTTGATGCTGCTACTTATTAGTAGTGTGACCTTAGGCAAGTTACTTAATCTGAGTGCCAATTTCCACATCTGTAAAAAGTTGGAAATAATAGTACCTAATAGTATTATATAGTGTCAGGGAGAAGTATGTGCATTTCGTATTAGTACTCTCAAAATGCCACATTAATTTTGGGAACAATGTAATCAACAGTAATTCAGCTTCCTTTTCTTTATCAACCACTGTGTTTACATAAAGACAGGAGAAAAATTGAGGGTGGAGATTTGGCTTTTAAATGCGCCTTAAAAGTTCATATATGTCTACAGATAATATCTTTAGGAGTTCTTCCGGATTAATTAAAAGTTATATAGTTCTTTGTGAATCCAGACAATTTGCAGGAAGCTTGTGGTTTCATTTTATGGAACTCCATTGATGTAATCTTCAAAACACTCATAGACCTGGAAACTGACTCATAGGGTTTTTTTTCTCCTTTACACAATTTATAGATGATACTCCAACTAAAAAATGCCAGGACGATATATTATTTCATAGGTGGACAGATTTTAAAAGACCCATGGGAGGAGAAAATGTGCAGGTGCTTGGATCTATATACATTGGAGGGAAAGGAAGCCAGAGTTAAATGGCACGTAATTGTCTCCCATCCCTTATTGCGTGTCCAGCACTCTTCATGACCTCTCTGATTGAGCCTCTGTGTTGGGGCCATTCAGGCCACCCTTAGACACAAGACCCAGCACATTCCCTGCAGCCCATTCTTGCCATCACCTCCCAAAGGATCATGGGAATTTTCTCATTTCAATTTTAACTTTGCGATAGTAGCTCAGGGTCACACCAGTATTCCACATCCTTCCTTCGTGGTGAATCATCTAGACCTAGATCCTTGATACTGACCATAGCAAAGAGACTATATTTACTTGTCTAAATTCATTCATTCAATCATTAACACATATTCATTGGGTGCCTACCTTGTGCCGGGTTCTGTGTCAAATGTGTACTGTTAGAGTAACAATCAGAAATGTGTTACAACCACTTCAGAGGAGAATCTGAAGACCAGATAAATAGGTAGGGCCACTGAAATGAATTTGCCTCATAGATACAACACCGGCTCCTTCCACAGTGGAGGATGGAAATCAATTAAACCTTCACATGAAAGAATTCATTTAATAAACAAGAATTATTTGCATTATAATCAGTTCTCTAAAGTTCACTTCAATCTCTCTGAGTTGTAAAATAGCCTATTCAAAGAGAGTGAGAAATGAAGACAACCCAGAGAGATGAGCTACTCAGGAGACTCACTACATTTCAGTCTGCATCAGTTTTTCCCTTAGAGTTTTTAGGGTACATGTTGACTAAATCCAATGTCTGTTTAAGGCAAGGAAAGGGTGTAGTGAGTGTTGTGTGGATGGCAAGAAGGAAGTGTAAAGATACCCTTCCATCCATGTGGAAGGGTGAGAGGAGATGGTTTGGGAAACAGGATAGAAGAAATACCATATGCACAGAGCCATAAAATGTCATGGCGAGGTTGGAGAACTGCAGTGGGTGCAGGAGAGCTGGGAATACAGCTGAGAAAGGGACCAAAACCCAGATGAAAAAGACAGTGAAGACCAGATTATGTCATGACAAAGGACTGACTTTCTATTCTGCAGGTCTGTGCCTACCGCAAAGTCATCTATGCCCCATTGCTGTCACACAAGACATTTTTAAGTAGTACATGGAGGAATGTTTTTATCGTGATATTTAATAGTTACATATTAATTTAATACAGAAGAAAGATTTGCCAATCAAAATTGGCATTTCACTAATAGTATCGACTAGGACAATGTCAAATTTACTTAAGTTAAAAATGTGATTTCATATAAAGAAGTATATTAAATACCCAAGAGTATTGTTGGTATGTGGATATGTCAAAACTCGTAAAGCTGGTAAATGTTTAAAGTGTGAGAAATCCTTCCTTAAGTAAGGGATGGGGAGTAAATGAAATGCTTTAAGCAGAACTGCTCCGGGTTTTCAAAGACTCTTGGGCAGCAATGTAAGGAGAGGGCAAGATTGGAGGTCCAAGAAGTATTATAATAGTGTGGATGAGAAATAAAGGCCTCCATCAAGAGCCTTGAGACTGGCCATGGAAAGGAGGGACAAATTGAAGAAATGTATGGGATTATTTTCTACTAGTCTGTGGTAGTGCTGGGTTGCATGAATCACTATGCTTTAAAGAATGTTGTTTAAACTTTCAAATGTATTATTCGTAACTTGTTTTATTCAGGAGGAAACAAAACAAGCATTTCTGGTATGTGGAATATTGTAAAAGTGCAGTAGAGAGGGCAAAGGTATTAGAAGATTTAGCCTCGATGTTGAATGAGTAATTATGAAAGGTGGAGATGACAAATTATTTCCAAGAGAAGAATTGTGTAGGGCACAGTGGCTCATGCTTGTAATCCTAGCACTGTGGGAGGCTGAGGTGGGAGGATCGCTTGAGGATAGGAGTTCGAGATTGGCCTGGGCAGCAGTGAGACCCCATCTCTACTAAAAATAGAAAAATTAGCCAGGTGTCATGGTGCATGCCCATGGCCCTGGCTACTTGGGAGGCTGAGGCAGGAGTATTGCTTGGGCCTGGGAGTTTGAGGCTGCAGTGAGCTGCGATGACGCCACTGCACTCTACCCAGGGTGATAGAGTGATAACTCTGTCTCAAAAGAAAAAAAAAAAAGAAAATCGAAACCCCCTCCTCACTCCTCCCTTCATATAAAATAAATAAATGTTTTAAAAAAAAGAATTATGTAACTATATACCATCAGCAGTTTCTCTGTGATACACAAGGATTAAATAAAGTAGAATTTAAATAACTGATCATTCCGAGTAAGGCTTCCTAGAGGCAGAGTTGAGAGCTGGACCTTGAAGGGAGGGATGGATATGTTCCTAGTGGGGAAAATGAGAAGGGCCAAAGGTCAGGAGATGGATTTTAACAAGAGGCATTCAAAGGACAGAACACGCATTGTCTCAGAAAGAAGAGACATGGCGGTAAAGGGAAGTGAGAGCTGTGAGGAGCTGTGGTTGACCGAGGGCTTTGAATGCTAGGAGGAATGGTTAGGGTCTGAAGGACCTGGGATTTAAGAGCAATGGTTCTAAGAGCATCCAGCTCTCTGGCTCTAGGGAAAAATTCCCTACGGTATGTCCTGGGGAACACCAGTTCCTCGAAACACATTATTAATGTGTTACCTAAGAAAAGTGTTCCATGGCAAAATAAGTTTGGTAAACACTGTGTTAAAGTTACCCAGGTTTCTTCACTGTAAGTGTCAGGGCCGTCAACACACTGAAGCATGTTGTGACTTCACGGGTTTATGGCGTTTCTCCAAACTTATTTGCTTACTAAGCAAATAAGGGCCTATTTTCGCTAAGTGTGTCCCAGCACTAGTGTTCTATGGGTTGTCCTCTGGAAGGTGCTGTCTTAGAATATACCTAGCCAATCTCAAAACTAGCAGGTGCTGCCACCTCTTCTTCCAGACCAATCAGCGGTCCAGGCAGCACTGAATCTCTTCTGCTTCTCCTGTCCCTCCATACAACGGAAGAATATCCAGCCACAAAAAGGAATGACATTCTGATACATGCTACTGCATGGATGAACCCAGAAAGCATTATACTAAGTGAAATAAGACAGATACAAAAGGACAAAAATTGTTTAACTTCACTTATATGAGGTACTCCGAGTAGTCAAATTCACAGAGAAAGGAAGTAGAAGAGTGGTTGTTGGGTGGGAGGGGAGAGAAAGGAATGGGAAGTTTTTGTTTAATGGGTACAGAGCTTCTGTATGCAATGATGAAAAAGTTTTGGGAATGGATAGTGGTGATGGCCGCACAACATTGGGAATGTACTTAATGCCACTGATTTGTACACTTAAAAATAGTTAAAAGCTAAATTGTATGTTATATATAGTCTAGCACATGC